CCTTATACTAAATGAAAAAAAAATCCAGAAATGAAAGGATTACTACATGATTATGTTTATTTGAAATGCATGGAATAATCAATCAGAGAGACACAAAGTAGGCTAGAAGGAGGTCAGCACCGTGCAGGATAAGACACTGCCTGTGATGCTAGTATCCCAATCTCTTGATTTCAGCCTGGACCAGTGCCAGTCATTCTGGCCAACGAGGCAGAGAACCAACAAATCTCTCCTGTTATCTGTGTCTTCCTCAGTCTCTACACCCCCTCTGTGCTTCAGAGATATAAGTAAATCTTTGCTAAAGAAGAAGAAGACATGAAAACAGAAAAGAGATTTCTAGAGGCTTGGAGGAAAAGAGCTGTTATTTAGTAGATAGCATTTCTATTATGGATGATATAAAAAGACTGTAGAAATGCATAGTCGTGATAGCTTTACACACTTATGATTTTATCGATGTACTTAATGGAATAGAATAATGCATATAAAATATTTAAAATATTAAGAATTGTACTATATATGTTTTACACTTCCTCTCAAAAAAAAAAAAAGGAGCATTGTATTCCTTCTTTACAAGTAAGTCTTGGACAATCTGAATCTACCGACTGGATCACTCTTGTGAGCTCCAGAAGTGATTTTTTTCCAGCTGAAATTTCAAACTCAGTGTCTCAAAGTGATGCCATAGCTTAACTGCACCATGTCCTTGCTCCACTGGAGAAACAGTTGTGGCTTCTCATAAGCTTCTCTCACAGTAAAAGTGCTACCATCTGTTAAGCTCGGATCATCTATACACCTGTCTTCCTCACTCTGTCAACTAATTAGCATTCAATTTTTTTTTATTTTTATCAATCCTAGCTTCTACCGATGTATGTTCTGCTCCTCTTTTCCATCTCCACGATCACAGTCTTATTTTAGAACCTGTTTCCTTCTCTCACCTGTTATTTTCTTCTCTAATATCCCCTGTAGAGATATCGCTCCACAGTCTAGCTTCAAAACAACCACTTGCATTGTCTTACTTTACAGGCCTGACTGCACTCCTTTTTCCCTTCAAAGGCTCTTTGATGCACCTCAGAATAAGGCCAAAATTCCCTGGCATTCTAGGTTGCAGCTCAACATCTTGCCTCCAATTCTTCTCTTCACATGTGCTCTTCCTAGGAAATTCATTCCCACGAGAACTTCTAGGTTTGAGCATTTGCTGTAACTGATGAGCCTGTCTTGACACATCATGTCTCCCTTGGCCCAGAGTTTGCACCAGAATTGAGTCTTGGTGTACATTCTGCAGGTTCAGATAAATGTGTGATGACATATGTCGACCAATCCAGTATCACACAGAGATTTCTCCACTAAAATTTTCTGTGCTGAACCAGTGAGTGGAAGGATAAATAAATCTTGAAAAGCAAAAATAATTTAAAATCCTCTCTGCATCACCTATTCTTCTCCCAACCACCACCTAAGCCACTTGTATCTTTTTACAGTATCTGAATTTTCACTTTTCTGGAATGGTGTATATTTGTAATCACACAGTATATAGGATTTTCAGATTGCTTCTTTCACTTGGTAACATGCATTTAACTTCTGTGTCTTTTGATGACTTAACAGCTCACTTTTATATGCTGAATATCAAGCCATTGTCTAAATGTACCAGTTTATTTATCTGTTCATCTATGAAACATTCTTGTTGTTTCCAAATATTAGTTGTTATAAATATCATTACTATGAACATCTGAGCAACTTCTTGTACCTTAATAAGCATTCATGTCCTCTGGGTAGATTCCAAGGAGCGAGATTCCTGGATCTTAGGATGAGATGTCATTTAGTTTTGTCAGAAAACACCAAACTGTCTTCCAAAGGGACTGTGCCATTTTGCATTCCCAACCCAAACATCCTACATTTCTGCTGTCATTATTTGGGGATTTGGACATTCTAATAGGAATGCAGTGATATGTCTTTTTTTAAAATATATTTATTTTTAATTAGTCAGATTTACAGAGAGAAGGAGAGACAGAGAGGTAGAGTTTTCCTCTGCTGATTTACTCCCCAAGTGACCCCCAATGGCCAGAACTGAGCCAATCCAAAGGCAGGAGCCAGGAGCTCCTTCTGGGTCTCCTGTGTGGTTGCAATATCCCAAGAGCTTGGGCCATCCTCAACTGCTTTCACAGCCCAGAGCAGGCAGCTGGATGGGGAGTGGGGCAGCTACGACACAAACTGGTGGTCATACGGGATCCCAGTGCATGCAAGGCAAGAACTTCAGCAGCTAGGCTATGGTGCTGAGCCCAATATAGTTTTTTTTAAAGATTTATTTATTTTTATTGGAAAGGCAGATCAGATATACAGAGAGAATGAGAGACAAAAGCCTCTTTCATCTGTTGTTTCACTCCCCAAATAGCTGTGACAGCCAGAGCTGAGCCAATCCAAAGCCAGGAGCCTGGAGCCTCCTCTGTGTCTTCCATGTGAGTGCAGGGTCCCAAGTCCTTGGACCATCTTCTACTACTTTCCCAAGCCATAAGCAGGGATCTGGATGGGCAATGGAGCAGCCAAGACATGAACCAGTGCCCACATGGGATCCTGGCAATTACAAGGTATGGATTTAGCCATTGAGCCATCACACCAGGCCCAAAATATCATTTTTTAATTCATATTTCTATAATGGCACATGATGTTGGGCAACTTTCCATGTGGTTATTTGCCAAATGTGTGTCTTTTTCTGTGAAAAGTCACTTTAAGGTCTTTGGGATTTTTTTAAATTGAGTTGTTTGTGTCGCTGTTGATGAGTTTAATCAGATGTATCTTTCACAGATATTTCCTCACAGTGTGTAGCCTGTCTTATTCTGCTGAATCGAAGTCTTTTGATTTTAATTCAATGCAAAGATCACTGAAAATCTCATCTGACTTCATTGTTAGCTGAATCTACATCAGTTCTAACTATTCATTTCTTATACAAACATTTATTGTGCACTTGCTAAGGACCCCAAATCCGCTAGTATAGTTGGAATGAGACTACACAGAATCAAAGCTTGTTTATAACAAAAAAAAAAAAAAAGCAAACTGAACTAGCTGATCCGGAAATTTTACTTTTGTTAACACACAGTATCTAATCACCAGATCCTATAAAAGATATCTGGGAAATTGAAGTTTTCAGCTCTCACATACTTGGGGTGTCTACTTTGATGTATTACAGTTATAAGTGATGGCACTCTCTCAAGAAATATATAATACAATGAAGATAAATCTATCCTAAAATAAATAAATACCACTGAGCTGAGTCATGACTACTATTAGCAAGCTATATGACTTTGCAGGAATCAGTCTGTCATCTTGACCTCAGTTGCAGCTTTGGTAAAAATAAAGTGATTAAACTGGAACCCCTAGACAGAGACTACTCAATGATTAATAGTATTGAGGGCTACTGCAACCCTAACTGTGGGTCAGAGTGATTGGAAGAAAGAGATTGGGAGAAACCTGTTATTATGGAGTACAATTCAGAATAAGTAGGACAGTTGAACATTCAAGCCCATGCTTGAGTATTTCTGCTTTGTATTTTTTCATGTGTTTCAAGAGGTTTTAGGAGCAGTACTGAGTATTAACAAAAATAATTAATTAATTTTGGAAGGGAATAATCTGAATAAATTAACAGGGGTTTTTTTTGGGGGGGGGTTCAAAATGTATTTATTTGTTTTCTTAAAAGAACTACAGAGAGAGGGAGAGACAGAGGGACCTTCCACCCCCCGGAAAACCCAGCTTGCCACAGCAGTCAGGACTGTGCCAGGTGAAAGCTAGAGCCAGAAGACTTTCCTGGCCTCTTCCTTGAGTGGCAGGAGCCCAAGCACTCGGGCCATCCTGTGCTGCTTTTCCCAGGCCATTAGCAAGGAGCTGGCTCTCAAGTAGACTAGCCGGGACACAAACCAGTGCCCACATGAGATGCTAGCATGAGAGGGCTTTACATACTACACCACAACACTGAACCCTAAATGGAAGAGTTGTTTGGGTTTTTTTAAAAAATAATCTATTTAGTTTGTTTGTAAGGCAGAGTGTTCAATGAGTGGGGTAGGAGGAGTGAGGGAAAGATAAAAGGAGGGGAAAAGAGGGAGAGAAAGAGAGAAAATGTTCCATCTGCTGGTTCATTCTGCAAGTAGATGCAAAGGGAAGGCTGGATCAGGGAGAAGTCAGGAGCCAAAAACACCATCCAGATTTTCTATGTGGATGGCAGGAACATAAGTGCTTGGGCCATCCTCTGCTCCCTTCCCAGGCACCTCAGCAAGGAACTGTAAGGGAAGCAGAGCAACAGGGACTTGAACCTGTGTTCCAGCATGAGATGCTGGCATCTGGAGCAGCAGCTTAGCTCACTGCAACACAATGCCAGGCCCCTAAATGGAGGTTTAAAGCAGGTAGATATCACTGCTCCCCTGTGCTGCTTGGAAAGTCTGCTGCATGATGGATGCTGTCCATCCATCATATCAACGCATTGCCATCAGCCACTCCTGCCATCTTTTCCCTCTAACAAGAATAACAGAATGGTGGTGACACTCTATTTTCTGACTTTGAGGACTGTTCCGGTATTTGCTTAATAGTTATTTGCTTAATAGTTGCTTAATGTTTTATGTACTTTCTTTTTTTAAGATTTACTTTTGCATGAACTTTCTGTGCATCTGAATTACTTTCCAAAAAATATCATTTTAAGATGCATAAGACAAGAATTTCCTAAATCATGCACTTCAAATTCTTTAAAAATTTAGATTTGTGTGAACACTGATTTAATCTTGGCAAATAAAGCACTTTCTGATAGAGTTGACTTATAAAGCAGACAGGGGAAATAATTCTTTGAAGGACAAATACCTTGTGTGCTGCCAGCCAATAAGGACGTAATACTTCCTCATCGTTGTTAATGAAAACTAACAGAGACTTTGTAAAAAAAAATAAACAAACAGCAGCCTAGTGAGTCACCTGTTTCCACATACAGGATGGAGAAGCTGTATAAATTTCGCCAGCCTCTAAGCAGAAAGTGCCAATCCAACCGTGGGTCCAAGAACGACCATCTTCGATGGCAGCTACGCAGCTCGCCCTGCTGGGCTCCGCGTGTCTACTGGCCGGCAGCCTGGCCCTGCCTCTGCTGCAGCAGGCAGCGGTCATGAAGGAGCCCCAGTGGAAACAGGCTCAGGTATGTCACGGTCCCCTCCCCCGGGGCTCAGGGGTCTCCCCAGCAACACTGATTGTGCTTTTCCATTCTCTCTCCTTCTGCACTAGTACAAGAGTTTTCTTAAGATATATTTCTTTATTTGAAAGGGAGAGAAGGAGAGAGTTCCTCCCTATTTCACTCCCTGAATAGCAGCAATACCCAAGGCAGGGTCAGGGTGAAGCCAGTAGCAGGGAATTCCATCTGCATCATCCAAGTGGGTGGCAAGAACTCAGATACTGAGCCATATTCCACTGCCTCCCAGGTGCATGCGCAAGGAGTTGGACTGCAAGTTTCAACCCCTCCATTCGTTATACAGATAGACTTAGGAATAGTGTTAGAGTTCTCAAAACTTAAGTTTTTTAACTGAGAAGTTAGAGATCAAAATGGTAATCACCCAAGTGGAGGAGTTGTAAAGCATGTAACACTTAGCTGCTACAACAGTGTTCATTCTCAATACCCTGAACTTGTATCCTTATTTATTGCTACTTGACAATCTTCATAAAAGTGCACTGGTGAGAACTACAAATGGAGAAAATTTTTTAAAAACCCAGGTAGAAGAGACAGCTTTTCCAACGCCAAGGACTCTAGATAAGGCACCAGCTCCTGGACTTGCTTTCCCTTATGCCCTGTGGAAATAATAACACTGTCTGGTACCTCCCAGGATTATTCTTTTTTTTTTTTAAAGATTTGTTTTTATTATTTTTTTATTGGAAAGGCAATACAGAGAGGAGAGACAGAGAGGAAGATCTTCCGTCCGATGATTCACTCCCTAAGTGAGCGCAACGGCCGAAGCTATGCCGATCCGAAGCCAGGAGCCTCTTCCGGGTCTCCCACGTGGGTGCAGGGTCCCAAAGCTTTGGGCCGTCCTCGACTGCTTTCCCGGGCCACAGGCAGGGAGCTGGAAGGGAAGCGGGGCTGCCGGGATAGAACCGGAGCCCATATGGGATCCCGGGCGCGCAAGGTGAGGACCTTAACCACTGCGCCACCACGCCGGGCCCGCCAGGATTATTCTTGTAAATAAATGAGATGATAATACCAATGAGGATACTTCAAAAATGTATGGAAATTTGTGATAAAAAAGAAAATTTATTCTCACGCAAAAAGAACTTTGAAACCCTTGCATAGTTTTGCATAATGAAACTTTTTGAAGATTTCTATATGTAAGAATTACAGATTACAAAATGCTTTTATGTACACTGCATCATTTAATCTTTAGTTTATCCTGATTTTAAAAAAAGAAGTTAAGTAGATTCACATAGCTGCTAGTGTAAGAGATTGTAATCAAAGGCAAGTCTCTCTGGCTCAAAAATTATGCTGTAATAAGCAACACAATAAGTGTAGATAGTTACTATTTGGCAAAATAATTGGATGGTTACGCATGTTGTTTATAAAGTTAAGCCTGAAGTACAAGAAAGGTTAAATTTTATCGTTGATTAACTTGTACTTTAAGAAGCTTCAGTAATACAAGGAATCTTTAACAAGTTCATAGAAGATATATATTATGAAAAACTACATGTGGATTTTGAAACTTGCATTAAAATAAGCTTAGCTATTAACTCCATTTTCCATAGAATGTTTTGTGTGCCCTCATAGGTTAGACTGAATCATAAGGAATTACAAATATTTAACAATATTTAAACCATCCAAACCTCCAAACCATCCAGTTCTACCTAATGGATTCTCCAGAAAAACGTACATTTGCAGGTACATCTGTCTCTCTACTTGGTGTGCAGGTGGCCAGCACAAAAGAAGAAGTTAGCTGGGTATAACGGAAGCCAGGAGAAAAAGCAATTTAGGAACACAGAGAAATTCCATCCAGGTAGGGTCTCCATAAAGTCTGTAGCTCAGGAAGAGATAAAACACATTGTTTTAAATAGCAATTTTCAGGATCAGCACCACGATATAAAAGGCTAAGCCTCTGCCTTTGGTGCCAACATCTATGTCAGTTTGTATCCTGGCTGCTCCACTTACAATCCAGATCTCTGTGGCCTGGGATGGCAGTGGAGGATGGCACAGGTCCTTGGGCCTCTGCACCAATGTGGGGGACCTGGAGTAGGCTTCTGGCTCCCAGTTTCAGATCAGCTCAGCTCTGACCTTTGCAGTCATTTTGGGAGTGAACCAGCAAATGGAGAATCAATCTCTTTCCTCGTTCTTTGTAATATTTTCAAGTATTATAAATAAATATTTTTTTAAATAAAAAAGAAAAATACTTCAAATTCTTCTTTTAAAAAAATAAGCAATTAATTCCTGATGAACAATAGATATCCATGGTACTGAATGAAACCTAAATGTTGGTAATAATAAATAAGCTGGCATTAGTTTATCTGAGCTGCTGGATTCCTTATATCCAGACACTAGGAAACCATGAGATTCCCATGCATGAAGCTGTGGAGGGGATAGGCCTTGTAGTCCTGCTTCATCCTACAACCTCCGAAAGTGGATTTAATCAGGATTTAATCATGGAAAGGAGGGAAAGAGGGAAAAGAAACTAGAAGCCAGGAAACTTAGTTCCGATTCTCGGCTACTAAATGCTTTGCTTTCTTCACTTGAACAATTAAATCAAGTAATTATGCTGACAATTACCTGATAGATTTTTCCAGGACTAAAACTTTAAGACCATCTATCCTTTCTCGGGGAGTAGAGCTCAGCAGGATCTCAGGCACACTGGGAGACACTCCTGAGGATTCCTACAAACACACCTAGGCTTTACAAAGTGTAAAGTGGCCACTGGCACCATGATGTAGTAGACTAAGCCTTCATCTGTGGTGCCAGCATCCCATGTGAGTGACAGTTTATGTGCTGCTGTTCCAATTACAGTCCAGCTCTAGTTATAGCCTGAGGGTGTAAGGGAGGGCAACCCAAGTGCTTGGTCCCCTAGACGCACGTGGGAGACGCTGGTGAAGCTCCTGCCACCTGCCTTCGGATCAGCCCAGCTCAGGCTGTTGCAGCTATTTGAGGAGTAAACTGGCAGATGAAAGATTCTCTCTCTCTCTCTCTCTCTGTCTCTCTGTCTCTCTCTCTCTTTCTCTCTCTCTCCCTCTCTCTCCCTCTCCTTCTCTCTGTAACTCTGCCTTTTATATAAAAATAAAATAACTATTTAAGTAAATACTGTTCCACTTCAAAAAACTGGTATAAAACAGAAGTTGATGGGTTATTTTTTCTTTGTAGTCCATAAAACTGCATGACAATGCTTTACTCCCAGTAAAAAATTTTCTCCTCATTAGTGCATATTTATTTTGTCCAGTAACTATAGAACTCTTTTATCTTCAGACTGCTGTTTGAATCCACAGGCACCAGAAGAGAAAGATGAGCATGAAGACCATAAGTAGAAACTATAGATTAATTACTCTCTTTTCAACAGGACTATCTCCAGAGATTTTATTTTTATGGCTTAAAATCAAAGGATGTCAATAGTATAGAAACCAGACTGAAGGAAATGGAAAAGTTCTTTGGCCTTCCTGTAACTGGGAAGTTAAATTCCCACATCATAGAAATAATGCAGAAGCCCAGATGTGGAGTTCCAGATGTTGCAGAATACTCACTATACTCAGATAACCCAAAATGGACTTCCAAGGTGGTCACCTACAGGTTAGTTTCACTTTGGTTTATTTTAGCAAAAACAATAAAGCTCTTTTCCTAAGAGGTCAAACATTATTTTCTTATTTGCTACTAGGATCATGTCATATCCATTTCCCACTAGAGGCTTATCGCCTACCAGAGTGGATCAACTAGTGGCAAAGGCTTTCAGCTTGTGGAGCAAAGAGATTCCACTGCATTTCAAGCGACTTCAGTCCGGAACTGCTGATATCATGATTGGCTTTGCCAGAGGAGGTAAGGAGATTCCTATAGTTATTTCTGTGTTTGTTATTTTTATCAGTCCTCTCTTCTTTTTAGGATTTAAAATCTTTTGTGTGTGAGTGTGTGTGTGTGTGTGTGTGCGTGTGTGTGCGCGCACACGCACGTGCATGCACTCTTGCAAGGGCATGTCAAAAAGTTTGTGCAAAGATAGAATCAAAAGATAAGTTTAGGGGCAGGTGTTTTATGCAACAGCTAAGATGCCACTTAGAATGCCTCATCCCGGTTCTGAGTGCCTGGGTTTGAATCCCAGTACCTCCCTCCATTCTGGCTTCCTGCTAACACATGTCCTGGCAGACAGCAAGTGACACCTCCAGTAGCTGCTAACAGTACCAACCTTCCAGCAGATTTAGGGCGAGCTCCTGCCTGTGACATCTGGGAAGAGAAAGAGCAGACGAGAGATGTCTCTCTCACTCTCTCTCTTCCAAATCAATAAAATAATAAAGTTTAAATCCTTTTTAAAAGGTAAGCATATTTCGGTCTAGCAAATATTTACATCATGTATAATTTTTGCATAACATGTATTTTTCATAAACTCCCGAAGAATTTTGTGTGCACAGCTTTTGAAAAATATTTGCACCAAAATAAATTTCTCTTTTAACTTTTTTTTCTATAAACTTTTTGGAGCATCCTCATATCTTGCCATATGAGTGTAATATTTCTAGTCTGCTAACTCACAGTCACTTTTCACAACAGGAGTTGGCAAGCCAGGAATCCTGACCCAAAGCCAGTCTGCCAGTCTTAACAGAGCACAGCAACGCTGTGTCATCTAGCCATCATCTAATACCACTTTCAAACAGGTCACAGTTGTGACAGAGACCATTAACTCAACAAAATGACTTGCTGCCTTACCTTGACAGCAAAAGTGTGCCAACTTCTATTTTACGGCATGCGTCAATTCAAAATATATCTAAGAATATCAATACTAAACCAAGAGAAAACGTTACAGCTCCCAAAGGTTATAAGTGACCTCCAAGAAATGGGACAGTGTCTTTGGATTGCTTCTAATACCCTTATTAGCAAAAAAAAAAAAAAAAGTAGAACATTGACACTTGTGTATCAAAGACCTAAAGAGATAAAACACACACACACTAGGGTTTCATGATACAAATTTAAAGAATGTTGTCCATGTTGGTCTGTTCTAGCTGACATTTCTACTTACAATGCATTGTTAACAACACCAAAGAAAGTGTCACAGAAGGAAAAAACTAGCCACAGCACATGATCTTAAAGACCAAGACAGACTACTTACAACTGATACTAACCTGAAGATAAGCAGCCATGCTCCACCAATGAAAAGCCCCCTTAAGGCCCTTGAGTATGGTTCTCTAAGAAGCTGTTAAGTAAAAAAATCAGTATAATTTTTAAGAAAAAAAAAATATGAACTGGTTCACAAGTTACTTTCCAACTGCAGAATTCAAATTTATTCTCCTTCCTGGCACTACTGAACCAAGCAAAATGATCGAATTGTCAAGCACTTTAAGGCCACCGTACATTAGATATCAGTGCACTTAAATGCTTCGTTCAGGAAGTTTTCATTAGGTGGCAGTACAAGTAGTTTTCAGTACAAGTAGTTTTGGTGTGAGCACCAAATAAGCACCTAGCTTATTCAGTCTGGGTCTGCTATTGGCTGCTTAAATGTGTAGACAATGCTGATGACGTGCTGGCCTGCTTGTCCGTCCGTCCTTCCTCCCCTTTTCCCCTCCCTCCCTTCCTTCCTTTTTCTCTCTCTCCTTCTTTTGAGACTTATTTATTTTAGAAATCTGAGTTATAAAGAGAGAGACAGATCTTCCATCTGCTGGTTTATTCCCCAGAAGGCCGCAACAGCAGGGCTGTGCCAGGCCAAAGCCAGGAGCAAAAAGCTTCATCCAAGCCTTCTGTACATGGATAGCAGGAGCCCATAGCTTGGACCATCTTCCATTGCTTTTCCCAGACCGTTTGCAGGGAGCTCCATCAAAAGTGGAGCAGCAAGGACATGAACCAGCAGTCATGCAATACTGGCATCATTGATGGTGGTTCCACCCACTACACTGCAACATGGGACCCCTGAAATGCTCTTTGTAGACTTGATAATGTTATAAAAGAAAATATATTGATTGGGCGCTGGCATAGTATTGTAGCAGGATAACCCCTCTCTTTCTGCTGCTAGTATACCATATGGACACCAGTTTGTGAACTAGCTGCTCCACTTCTCAAATCAGCTCCCTGCTTATGGCCTGAGAAATTAGCAGAGGATGGCCCAAGTTCTTGGGTTCTAAACCCATGTGGGAGAAGTTCCTGGCTCCCAGCTTCAGACCAGGCCAGCTCTGACTGTTACAGCCATTTAAGCAATAAGCCAGTGGATGAAAGACACCTTTCTCTCTTTATCTCTCTCGCTCTCTCAAATAAATCTTTAAATATATATATATATATATATATATATATACATATATATGCATATATATTTACTTATATATATTACTTGAGTGATTGATTGGAGAAAAGTGCAGATACTAAGGGCAATTGCCCCATTCTCTTCTAGCTCACGGGGATGACAACCCCTTTGATGGACCAGGGAACACACTGGCTCATGCCTTTCCACCTGGGCCTGGCCTTGGAGGAGATGCCCACTTTGACAAAGATGAACCCTGGAGCGACGGTAGTGGTTCAGGTACAGCATCTCATGTCTCTTGTACCACCCATCCTCTGAAATACCCTGAAAGTAGATCAAGTTTAATATAATTACTTTAATTTGTAAGAATCTCTGAACCCTGACTTAATACCAATCACATTATAAGCCTTAACTGTTTAGTTTCATTTAATGTACCCATAATGTTATATACACAGAAGCAGATAGCTCAGGCTACAGGGTGAAGCAGCATTAGATTCAATTCACTGGATCTCTACAAGGATTTCCTGTGCATCTTTGGGCACATTATTTAACCTCATTGAGCCTCAGTTTCCTCATCTGTGAGGAAATGAGACCATACTAGTTCCCAAATCAAAGACTGAGCTTAGATTAAATTATTTGATACATGCATAGTAGTTAACATGGTGCCTGGAATATATTAATAGTTTAATAAGTTATACTTATTTCTTCATATTTCCCCAAAGTAAGTTGTCTCAAATAGAGGAGAATGAGGAACAAAGAATATCCCATTAAAAGTTATACAATATTGGAATTATGCTCTACTACTCAAAAAGCACCTACTCCACGGTGCAGTCAATCATGCTCATCATTTAACAAAGTAGATTATAGACACATTAGAGACACAGAGCATTTCCATGGGTCTGAGAGATGAGAAAAAAAAAAGAATATATGTGGGTAATTCAAAAGGGTTGATGGAAAGTGGAATTAAAAGTTTATTTTTGTGGAAAGTTTTTAAATCCATGCGTAGTTTCACTATGCACATTTTGCATGAATATATTGATGGTCTCCCAAAAATAATATGATTTCATGAAATCAAACAAAAATCCAGCCCTGCCTGGGGAATCCTGCCTTTCAGTGTCAGCTTTCTCAAAATCAAATTTCTCTCTCCTGATATTCAGATCACTCTCATTTAATGAATAGCCATTATTTTTCTAAGTTTAGGGAAATTAATTAACATGACATGTCTTCACAGTAGAAATTCCTGCTTCGGTTTAACAGGTGAGGAACTAAGCCTGAGCCACGTTTATTGTGACCAAAGCCATTAAGCTAGTAAGCTCAGAGCTATGGTTGAAGGCCAGGTCTTAATATCTTCAAGCTTTTGCTTTCCATAACATAGTGGGACAGCCTGGGTGATTACATTAGATGCAGAAAGGTATAAAATAACATTAAAGTTTTTGAAGAAGGGGAAGTAGTGATGAGGTGAAAACATTCTGATTCTCCATCTTACTCCTCCCTACTTTTGAAGTAAGCCATAAAGAATTGGAGTTGAGCATTTTTGCAGTTTATCTTGCATACTTAGCTATTTTTGTAGTTACTGAGTGTCCTGTCTTTGGTTATAGGAATAAGCTTCCTGTATGCGGTAACTCATGAACTTGGTCATTCCTTGGGTCTGGATCACTCGTCTGATCCAAATGCTGTGATGTATCCAACCTACGAACATAAAGATTCCCAAAATTTCAAACTTGGACGGGATGACATTGAAAGCATTCAGAAACTATATGGTAATATTTGTGAGTTCAAATAAGGGGCATTCACATTTTCTCTTTCCCTTAGACTTGGACGACTGGAAATGGGTATTTGCATAGAAACACAGCACCAAAACTTACCTTTAAAAAGCAATTAAGGGGACAATTTTGAGATCACAAGGAAAATAAATTGAAACATGCTACCTTTTACTACAAGGATGCTGATTTCAAGTTTCAGTAAGACAGTAGTACCATGTAGGAAAATTGCAACAATCACACTCTCAAGATTCTTTGTTTCTATACATTTGTTTAAGTTTTTACCTATTTATTTTATTTTTTTATTTGAAAGGCAAATAGAGGCAGAGAGAGATCTTCCAATCCTCTGGCTCCTAAAATGTCCACAAAAGGATCAAGCTAAAGCTAGGTGCCTGGAACTCACTTTGGGTCTCCCACGAGTGCGGTACATGCCCAACTGCTGCCCAGAGAGCACTTCAGCAGGAAGCTGCAATCTGAAGTAGAGTTGGAACTTTAACTCAAGTACTCCAATATGGGTTGCAGATATCCCAAGCACTATCTTAAAAGATGAGAAAAGGTTCAAAGAAGCTAAGTGAATTGTTGAATGTCATGTAGCTTCCAAGTGCTTGAATAATGATTCTAAGTCAGGGTTGTGTACACATAGATTCTCTCTACTATACATTCCTGCTACCCAGTAAGCTTTTAAAAGCAAACTGGAGGCAGGTGCCATGGTGCAGCAAGTTAAATTGCCACTTGGGACACCCAAATCCCATGTTGGGCGTGCTGGGATCAGTTCCCACCTCTGCTTCTTACCAAGCTTCTTCCTTCTAATGCATCTGGGAAGAAGCAGATGATGGCCTGGTCACTTGGGCTCCTGCCACACATTTAGGAGACCTGAAAGGAGTTCCTGGCTGCTGGTTTCAGCCTGGCCCAGCCTGGATTACTGCAGGCATTTGGGGAACACACCAACAGATGAAGATGGATCCCACTCCCTCCCCCTCCCTCTATCACACTGTCTTTCAAAACACATCAACCTTTTAAAATTGAACAAACAAAAGTAAGTTAGACAAGAGACAGGCAATAGCATGCTTAAATTGGCAGATATAGGTAATCCTGTGCAGTAAAATATCATGATGATAAGAATATACGGCAAAAAGAATACACAGCTTTGAGTGATCACAGAGAAATGAAATGGCTCTCATATTACTGAGTACTGTCCTTTGGGAAGAATCATCCCTAAAGGGGGAAGAATGCAACTTATTAGTTGAACCGAGGAGTTACTATAAACCAGCATTTCCCAAACTGTCTCACCAAAATGCCAGTTACATAAAACAATTCTCCAAAATCATGTTATAGAGAAATAAGTTCAGCAAACACTACCAAATATATTTTAGGTGCAACAAATATTTAACAGAAATCAACAGACATGTTTAACCCAGTATTTTATAAACTATAGTCCTTTTTATGGAACACCACTGAAATGCAAAAAACAAAATAGCATTTCAGAGAGCACATTCAAAAAAAATATTTGTACTCTAGACATCCAACTTAAGGAGTTTCTGCTTCCTAAGACTCAAATACTAAAGTACTATTGCTGATAAAGTCATCACCAGACAAATGGAAAGTACTCCCTCCATTATTTAAAACATTGGAACACATGGAATACTCTACAGCATTCAATAACTTAGAATCTTAAGAAAACCATATGGGACTAAAGAAGATTCTGAGGCAGAGAATAAAAAAGAACAAGAAAAAAAAGAACAAATTGATGCAATAAATCCTCAAGTATTAGACAAAAATTTCCCCTAGTCAAAGTTAGGAAGAAGTAATTTGTAGACAAATTAAAAACTACTCTTGTTAGGTAGATTATAAATTTAGGGGATTCATCAAGCCAGAAATGTAATATGAGCAGAAAACAGATTCAAAATTGTGGTTAAACTCATGGATACAGGATTCTCAATGTTCTTTTCAGAATAATAATAATAGCTAAAATGCATTGAGTACCCACACCTACCACACCCTTCACAACAACTCCTTGAAACCAATGATTCAATGAGATGTTTATTTTCTCATGTTACAGATTGGTAACCGAAATCTCAGAGAGGTTAGCTAGTAACTTATCCATGATCATGCAGCTGGTGAGAGGGTGGAGACAGCGGGCAACAGTGGCCTGAGCCCCAGGTTCTACCTACACCCTGTGCAATACCTACTTCTTCACCACTGGAGGTTGTTGTTCAGAACCTTTGTCCCAGGCAAAGAAGTCTGAAGCGGGCAAAGGACAGGTTAGAACATACCATGACATTTCTTTTGTTTCTACAGACTTAAAGTTGTTCCTATACCTTTTATACCAAGTCAAATTATTCTTATTTTTCTTTCTTAACAGGGAAGAACAGGAATTCAAGAAAGAGATAGAAACTTCAGGGTGAAGAATTGAGTTCTTGCTAAGTGTTTCCTAGCCAGAAAGAACAACCGTTGCAGCCCTCTACCTGGCACTTTCTCCATTCTTCCTTGTTGGGTTTTGTGACTTTCTCTAAGGACAAGCTTTATGGGATGACTGTGTCTTACACATATATATGAGTCACCTCAAGCAACCTGCAGTTGGTAGAAGTCAATCAACATTGTATGCACAAGAAAATAAAAGTTTTAATTAAAAAAATACCTTCTATTTGGGAGCATTGTTTACATAGCAGGAGAAGATATGCTACAGAAAGAAATCATGGACTAGGACCCCCCAAAAAAAATCCCGCTGAATTATTTTAGGGTCTTCAAATGTACCTCAGCTTAGTACCAAATGAGAAATGTGAAAGTCCCACCTTTTTCTCATTCATTTGTATAGCCCAAATTTGCACTAACTTCCCCTTGTCCTTTTGGGCCAGCTGTCATCATGGGGTATCTGGGAAGTCCAGTTCTTCTCATAAAATGTCTGTGGATTCCCAAGGACTTCTAACCTCACACTCACTTCCAGTTCCCGGTTTCCACCTTAACCTCCTGATTCCCCTGCATCTGTCTCCTGCCAGCACTGCTTTCTGGGCTCCCTTCCTTCTGCACTGCCCCACCCAGGCTTCCATCTCACGCCCCTCCTTCTCCGTTGCCTACATTCCTGGGCACAGCAGCTTGAACGGCTTTCCTAGAGTAGCTACATCTGCAGACTCTAGATTGTGTGTGTGTGTGTGTGTGTGTGTGTGTGTGTGTGTGTGTGTGTGTGTGAGTGTGTGTGTGTGTGTGTGTGAGAGAGAGAGAGAGAGAGAGACTGTGGGAGGGACAAAAAAGTGAGTTTTTAATATTTATACAGATTCATCTCACTTATCTTTTTAAACTATAGAAAGGCAGAGTTACAGAGAAAGGAGAGAAGACAGACACTCCCCAGCTGGCCACAAGGGCCAGGGCTGGGCCAGGTCAAAGCCAGGAGTCCAGAGCTTCTTCCATGTGGGTGCAGGGTTCAAGCACTTTTACCATCTTCCACTGCCTTCCCAAGCACATTAGCAGGGAATTGGATTAGAAGTGGAACAACTGAGCCCTGCACCATGGCCTAGTGGCTAAATTCTTGCTTTGCAAGTGATGACATCTCATTTGGGCACCAGTTCATATCCTGGTTGCTCTGCTTCCCATCCGGTTGCCTGCTTGTGGCCTGAGAAAGCAGTGGAGAGTGGTCCAAGGCCTTGGGACCCTGCACCCATGTGGAAAACCCAGAAGAGGCTCCTACATTCAGATCAGCTCAGCTCCAGCTGCTGCAGCCAGTTGGGGATTGAACCAGCAGACAGGTAATATTTCTGTCTCTCTCTTTTTATAAATCTGACTTTCCAATAAATCAATGCTTTAAAAGAAGGAACGGAGCAGCTGGGACTTGAACCATTGTCTATATAAGATGCCAGTGTCAAAGGCAGAGGTTCAATATGGTTTGCCTCAATGCCAGCTTCAATTTGCTGTGTGTGTTTCAGCACATCATTCTTAGCAGTGAAGTTAGGCTCTAATTGAGCACAGAAATGTTCTTTTTCCAGTCGAAATAGCATATAACTGGCTTTTACACACACATTTTCCTAAAAAATAAGAGCCTATGATCTTTTTCATAATTATGTGGAGAAATATGTGAAATTAATCAATTATACTCAGCTGGTATTGAAACGGTTTGCCAAGAGAAAGCTCTCATAGCCACATCACCACTGGCTGTTCTGAGGGAATCATGCCTGTGATGGGGACTGCCCCATCATCGTGGTGTGTTTAGCAGTTAGCCCTGTCTTCTCTCTACGGTGAGTATACCGTATACCACATCTTCAGTTGTGGCCACCAAAAATATCTCCAGACATTGCCAGGTTCCCTTTTACAGGGAAAATAGCCCAACTGGGAAGTACTGAGCTAAAACATTGTAAAATGTGAATGCATTTATTTTCATCTACCTGAAAAGCAGATGTACCCACACAGAGAAACAGAAATAGGGGCAAGAGAGAGAGAACTTCTTCCTCAAATGACCACAATAGTTAGAGATGAGCCAGGTCTAAGCCAGGAGCCCGGAATTCTGTCCCAGCGTTCCATGGAGGTGTGCATGTGACAGGTGCCCAAACACTTGCGTCATCATCAGCTACTTCCCAGGATGCCTTAGCTGGAGCAGAAGCAAAGCAGCTAGGACTCAAATCCACACCAATATTCTCAAATGCTCACCTCTGAATTTTACTCACTGTCCCCTCTGCCTTTTTTTTTTTTTTTCGCCAAAGATCCAACCATCCTCCAATTCCATGCTCTCACAGGAAAGGGAAAAGAGCACAAAGTAATGTATGGGGACAGAGCAGGGAGCATCCTGAGCCTCCACTTGGGGTGCCCACATCCCACAGCAGAGCGCCTGAGACTGACTGCCACCTGCATCTTCCTATCCAGCTCCCTGCTAAGACACCCTGGGAGGCAGCTGATACCTCGGGTGCTTGGATTCCTGCCACCCAGCATCTCCCAGCTCTGGCTTTACATGTATTTGGAGAGTGAAACAGTAGATAAAAGATCTGCCCCGTGTCTCTTTCAAATAAATTTTTTTAAATACATAAAATAACCACAGCATGGGGCAAAATGTGGCACAGCAAGTTAAACTACCGCTGTAGAGGCTGGCATCTCAGGGTGGAGCACCTGTTTCAGTGTCAGCTGCCCCACTTCTGACCCAATACCCTATGGATGTGCCTAGGAAAGCACAGGAGAGGTAGTCCAAGGTCTTGGGCCTCTGCCACCTACATAGGAAACCCTGATGGGGTTCCAGGTTCTTCTCTGCAACCATTTGAGGCATATACCAGCAGGTGGAATCTCTCTCTCTCTTTTTCTCTCTCTCTCTCTCATGCTCCCTTTCAAATAGAGATCTATAAAGGGTATTGGGGGTAAAGAAACCCTCTGAGGAATTCCAGTGAATTTCTGAAAGAGTTGAAACACATGAGTCTTTCTCTGTGACATGCAAAGCAACCAAAATAAGTGAACTGCCCAGCTCCAGAGAGAGGCTTTAAAATTCCAGCCGGGGGCCCGTCAGCATGGCCTAACGGCTAAAGTTTTCTCCTTGAATGCCCCGGGATCCCATATGGGCACAGGTTCTAATCCCAGCAGCTCCACTTCCCATCCAGTTCCCTGCTTGTAGCCTGGGAAAGCAGTTGAGGACAGCCCAAAGCTTTGGGACCCTGCACTGTGTGGGAGACCCGGAAGGGGTTCCTGGCTCCTGGCTTCGGATTGGCATAGCATCAGCTGTTGCACTCACTTGGGGAGTGAATCATCGGACGGAGGAGCTTCCTCTCTGTCTCTCCTTCTCTCTGTATATCTGACTTTCCAATAAATAAATTAAAAAAAACAAGACATGATTACTGTTATTATTTTAAAAAAAAAGAAAGAAATCCCAGCCAGAAGGATAACGAAGGCTCAGTGAACAATGAGGCAACTATGTCTGTATGCAGCTGAACTAGCTGGCTTCAGGTGTTGAAAAGGGGCAGCTTGGTCAGGTGCTCCAGAAGCCTCCCCCTCCTCCACCCCCGAGAAGCACGAACTGCAACAGGTAATCATACACCAAGGCATGCTTGCAAGAGCTAAGAAGGCCAGGCTGCAATGCCCGGTGTTATCAATTGAAGAAAAATTGCATCCAACAAGGCAGGAAGGAAGGGCTTGCCTGTGCCTCTCACCATCTCCAACAAGAGCACTGCAGAGAGACACATCTCCTTCCAGCTTCAGGGAGGGAGGGAACAGAGTGTAGACCTTTAATTTGAAACCCAGCAGCAGGCCTGCAACAACAACGCCTGCGCTCCAACAAGGCCTCTTCCCTGGCCCATACCTGCATGCCGAGCCTTTGGCCCCTACTTGGCCAGGCCAAGAGACAACCTTCACCAACTCTCCCCGATCCTTGGGCAATATTCCAGCCATGGGGAGCAGAGTAAGAAAGGACAGTGGAAGATGTCCCAGAACCTTGTGGCCCTATACCCATGTGGGCGACCTGGAGGAAGATCCTGGCCCCTGGCTTTGAATTGGCTCGGCTCTGGCTGTTGCAGCCACTTGAGTGAATCAGTGGATGGAAGGTCTTTCGCTCTGCCTCTCCCTCTCTGTCTGAATCTGCCTTTCCAATGATAAATAAATATACTTGAAAGAAAAAAGAGAGAGTGCTTAAGGTTTTGCCTTAGAACTATGAGGCAGGCTTGCTTTGGTGAGACCCAGCACCAAAAAGAGAACAGAAGCCTTTGCCCAGGGCCAGGACCTGGAAACAGAGCTGCCAGACGTGCCGTGGGACTAGGTGGAGCCCCGCTCATGGATAGATGGATAGAGTTTGGGCCAGTTTCACTGTCAGCCTTGCCCAGAAGCAGCGAGCCCCAAATGCAACTGCGCTTGGTATCAGCCTGGGCAGCCAAAGCATTGTGCTCTCTCCCCTGCCCAACTACAGGCAGAAGAGAGCAGCACAGCTCCAGCCCCTGGACAACAAGACACCAAAGTGGTAAAATACCAACGCTAAGCACATTCTAGGTCAGTGCCTGGGAACAGAGCATCTGGGATTGCAGTGTTAAATAGAAACTCATGGCCCCGGTCAGTTGGATTGATGTCTCAACCAGCATCACCTGTTGCTAGTTGCAGTCACCTGTGGCTGCAAATCCACATGAGCAGCAGGCAGTCCCTGCAGGTCTTGGCAGACTGTAAGTTCCAGGAATGAGCCAGCCTTATGACACAGGCTGCTAAAGGACTGATGCTCCATTCTTTTCCCAACCTCAGGCAGCCCAACCCGGAGAACAATTGTCTGCTTGGGGAAAAGAAGATATAGGCGTGTACCAAGACATTGCATGGAAACCTGTGTTTCGACTGTGAGGACTGAGCAACCTTCAGCACTCCTGGCATAGAGGGTCCTGTTCCATCCTGCCTCCCTGTGCTAACACTGAGACCCACACACCCCTGCTGGGATTCAGAGATGTGTCTCGTGCCCTCAGTGCCACCACCACCATCAATGACAGTGGAAGCGGCTATTGGAGGACTACAGGGCAGCGTCCAACTGGAACTACAGCCCAAACAGCCCACCAAATATACAACAGAAGGAAGACATGACTTCAGAAAAGGCTTTTTACATTGAAAATCACTCTTCAAAAGTAAGTAATAAACAACATAGGCTTTGGATGCGCAAATAGGTGGGTGGGTTGATGGCCCTGGGTCGGCCCCAGGTGATGCTAA